CCTTACCAAATGCTCCAAGGAGCTGACTGCAGTGAAGAACACCCAGGAAGGAACACACCGGACAAGTTGGAAAGTGAAACAGACCTTAGTCTGGCCAGATAGCACTCCCAAAGCAAAGTAGCTTAGAGAGGCCTAGTCCAGAGTCCGAGGCTCTTTTTATAGGGGCTTGCAGGGGAGTTAACAGGTGAAATTTACAAAGGTTTAGTGGTCTTACATTTGTATGTTAATTAGTCTGACATGTACTGATAGTCAGCAGATGCTTTGTAGATTGTTCTATAGATAGTGGTGTCTGGAACAAAGAGTTGGATAATTATGGCTGATACGATCTTATCTAGTGTCCTGAAACTAAGAAGCATCTTTATCTATTTACTCACATTCAATCACAGTTGGGGCTAGGGGAGTTTTATGATTACAGAGTTCTGCAGTCCTACATTCCCCACTGATTTTACAATTTAAGTAATCTTACTTATAAATGTAGGCATCCATTGTATACAATAGCATGACAATAGTAAGCATATACACACAACCGTAATGACCAGAAAAAGTTGTTTTAACCATTGTAGGTTGGACAACCATTTAGTTAGCCATTGGCTCAAGTCCCAGCCATCTTCATTATGTACCCTTTGAGCCAAGTCTTCCAATTCTTTTATATGGCAGGACATCCCTTCCGACCGTTTTATCCTCAGACATTGGGTATTATTTGACATAATTACCTTGGGTGTATATAATTTGACAGCATTTTTAGGTTTACAACATGGGGCACGTCCCCAATACATGATGGAAATTTACGTCAACATTTAGATAGAATTCAGACAAATTAAGCGAGTTTGCCAATTGAATCCATACATTTTTGTGTGTATGTGATCTAGTCCTCTTGGGGACAATACTGCCAGTGTCCCAGACAATATTATCATGAAGGCGAAACATCTCCAACCCACTCCAATCTTAGCTTTTGGTCACCTGGTTGGCTGATAACCTTTCATTTGTCCTTTTTGATGTCTGTGGGGGGTCCTGCTTTTAGATGGTTGTGATGTATCCAGGGAGAATGTCCAGCCACCTTCACCGCCAAGGGAGTTGACAGGACAACAGGAACCGGTCCCTTCTAATGAGGTTCCAGGGTCTTGGAATCAAACCTGCCAATAAAAACCAAATCTCCCAGCCTATAGGGTAAAGGTTGTAGAGGTTTTTCATTTGGACTAGTCATTCTCTTTCATAATGTCTCATGTAGCTCTGACTGAAGCTGATGAACTGCTTTTAAGGATTTAAGGAGC